AGTAAGTAAGTAAGTAAGTAAGTAAGTAAGTAAGTAAGTAAGTAAGTAAGTAAGTAAGTAAGTAAGGAAGGAAGGAAGGAAGGAAGGAAGGAAGGAAGGAAGGAAGGAAGGAAGGATAGATAAATAAATAAATAAATAAATAAATAAATACATACATACATACATACATACATACATACATACATACATACATACATACATACATACATACATACATACATATCCATTCTGAAGGAAATCAACCCTGAGTGCTCACTGGAAGGACAGATCCTGAACTCCAATACTTTGGCCATCTCATGAGAAGAGTAGACTTCCTGAAAAAGACCCTGACGTTGGGAAAATGTGAAGACAAGAGGAGAAGGGGACGACAGAGGACATAATGGTTGGACAGTGTCATCGAAGCTACCGACATGAATTTGACTCAACTCCGGCAGGCAGTGGAAGACAGGAGGGCTTGGCGTGCTCTGGTCCATGGGGTCACAAAGAGTCGGAAACGACTCAACGACTAAACAACAACAAGGAAGCTAGAATCTCCCCATCACAAACACAGATGGAATTTCTTCCACTCACAGTCTTGCAGTTTAAAGATTTAGCTTCCACTTTAATTTTTTTTTAGTGCCAATATAAGGGGACAATGGTCTTTTTATAAAAAGCCAACTCCAGGTTTCTTTCTCAAGGAATGTTGTTATCTTATTTTGAGTAACTTCACTTATCTCCTGAAAAATGTCACATTCTTAAGACAGTTTTTCTCAATTGCTATCTCTCTGATACAGTAAACTTAATTCCAGTTTTTAAGGTCTGAGACCAGGCTAGTGTTTGTTAAACATGGTTGAAAATATAGGACTCTTTGAATTATCCTCTCTCACCAGCCAAGGAAAGGAAGGCGCAGTGGAAGGTAGGCAGGATTCTACCTGTTGTGTTTTTGACTTGACCTCTGTCTCCCCGTCTGCTGCCTACACCCAAAATAGAACCTACATTGTCAACCAGGGAATGTGTAAAACCAGTCTTCATTTGATGTTCCTGTTATGAAACCAGGTTTCCCAGGTGAGTGGGAGGCTTTTCTCATAGTAGTGACAGTACAAAGGGTGCGGACAAAATATCCATCAGCAACACCAAGAGGGTTGAAAGCTCCAAATTCATTCCCAATGTCAAATTGATCTCCCTCAGAGCCACAGTGCTATATATAGCATCCAAAGTGGTAGAGTGCAGAACCAGATGTGGGCAGCTGAGGCTCGCCTCATGATTTTCAACCAGAATCTCCATAATCCTTTCCCACTCGCCGTACTGGGAAGACTTAAAAGCACTATAGACTTTAAAAGTATCTGGAGGGCCAAGGTTGCCCACCCAAAAAATGTATCTCGAGTTAAATTTGTAGGTTCCCAATTATCACAAGAATAAAAAGGGAAGACTGGACACTATTCCTACTGCAAAACATAGAAGCGTTCTTCAACATGGGAGATCATTGTGAGGAATACTTTCAAACCTTTTAATATTTCTAAAATTAAAAGCTTATTTGACAGGGTGGATTCATGCTTTCAGATATACCATAGAAAAGTACTTCATCTTTAATAAACATTGATAAGAAAACTATTTAGTGAAAACGCAGGCTTAGAAAGACACTACAAACAGTTTACATCTTGGAGATGGTTCACTGCAAAACATGAGAACGAAGTCTTTCCAAAGGTGAAGGTTCATCCCTTTAGGTGGTGGCCATCTTGTTTTTCCAGATCCACTGTAGTGCTTTTTAATAGTGCTATACAAAAAAAATACGTTTCAGGGAAAATATGAAATATCTGTATTCAGCTCATTCCATACAGTCAGTTATTGAAGGAAAAGAAAACCCCCAAATCAAATGCGTTTGAAATACACATTATGACATACCATGAGCTTTATAAAATTATTACTTAAATGTGCACAGTCCTGTTATTATCTAGAGACATGGCACTGTGAAGAAAGTTTTGTTCTTTAAAGCATCTACTTCCTATAGAGTTGTATGAGTGATGCGGTCAGTCAGATCATAATGTCCCTTTGACTTTGGTACATTCAGTGCAAAAAATAGTTTCAGGAATATCTTACCTTTATAAAAATAAAAGGCATATATATATATATATAATATATATTTCCCTTGAGAGTGCTTAAAGAATCAAACACAATATCTAATTAAGCATGGAAAAGTGAAAAGAACAGAAAGAGAATCTTTTGTTAGCTACTTTCTTATTTACACTCTAAGGAACTAAGTATCATGAACCTATAAAAATAAACAGAAGTCACTGTGTAAGAGGTTGGTTTTTTTCCTGATATGCTGTGATAAAGTCTAATTGTCGTTTTTTAAAAACACTCTCTTCATGCAGTATAAAGCATAAAATCAGTCATTCTCTTATATTAGCTTATCTTTTGCCAAAGACACTATTTGCATATACATTTGTACAAGCCACCTAAATTGCAAGTTACTTTGTCAGGTCATGTCTTGCTGCTCATTTTCCTTCCCAATTTTGTTAAGCCCAAGAAAAACGGATCATGTTTACTGTTACCTTTGAAACACAATTGATGTCATGCAGGCACTCGTATTCTTAGGTATAGCATGTATAGTATATTCTAGTATTGTACTGTATATGACATATAGTAGAGTACCGTGTGGGGGGAAAATTCTAGCAGTTTTTTGTTTTAACAGTGTTTTTATCTGAACTCCTGCAATCACCAGCAAGAAGTAAGTTTCATATTCTACTTTGAATTTAATTCAAATATTTTGGTGACATCTGGTTTTTGAGATGTGTAAGGTTTTTCAGTTGCCCTGATGTTGCTTACTGCTTGTCATGACATCACTTTTAAATCATACCAAATGTTGAATTTTGGTGAAAAAAGGATTCAACAGTGGATCGTTGGTTGCTCCCTACAGACCACTCCCCTTGCTATGGAGTATTTGTGTGGCTAGTTCAGAACTTGTACGGGATACACAATCTAGCTTTGCTCAGTCACAAAGTCCCAGCACTCAAATTGCATTGGAAAGTCATTTTCCTCTTGGTAACACAATAGAAATGTTTGTGTGTGTGTGTGTTTGAGGAACCAACCATAGAAGGGTCCAAAATTCTGGGCACTATGGTTTGTGTTTTTTACTCAAGTCCAAATGTGCTTGTCTCTTCAACAGCTGTCAGCAGCTTCTCATAGAGCATCGAAAATGATGGGTAAGGAGGAAGGTCTAGACGATTGAAACAAGTGTGAGCTCTGAGGGAAGAAGAAAAAGAATGGGAAGGTCTTAGAATGGTTCAGAAATCCACACAAAACAGATACCTAGAGGTTCCCAACACCACATCATAGTATGATTTAGAAGCTTTATTGCTAAATTTGAAAATGAACTGTGAAGTGAATTTTGATTCTTTTTCAATCTCTACTACAAAAAATGGGGTGGTGGCGGCTTGGTTTCCATTTTCTTGCTATTGAGAAACAGATGTGGAGATTAAGAAATACTGACAAGGAAGCCAGCTGGGAAATAAGAAGCCACAGACATCTCCCCCACCCCTCCAGACTATCAGGGAAAATGAGTTTTAAAAGAGATAGCTGTGCTAATCTGTGCTAGCATATCAGGCAAAAACAAAAGAAAAATAGTGTCTAAGGAAGTGGATTTGTCCACAAAAGTTCACATTAAAATATAGCAGTTTTTAAAGGTGCCACGACATTTTGATCTTCTTTATTTTTTTTCTTTTGGTTTGGCATGACAGGGAAAATGAAGACCTATTTAGCAATAGAAGTCATGTTGCTTAATAAAAAATAAGAAGAGAACCAGAATAGTTTTCATTTTCCAAGAAGTTTAAAATGAGACAGTCTTGTCCTATAGAATTCATGATGAATTATTTTGCTTATTCTATGGCAGAGTAACAAATTCTCTTGATGAAATTAATTCCACTTCTACCTTGACGATGGGATTTTGTGCTTTGAAAGTCCGTATGCAAGATAACAGGGTTCTAATAAGGCATAGTATGTTCATATATGTCTTTCATTTCTCCATCAATGGTAAAATTTATTTATTTATTTATGTAATTTATATGCCGCCTAAAGAGGCTTTGAGTGTTTACATATTTTCTCTTTTCTGGAGGAATCTATTCATCATTCCAGCATGCCAGTTAAGTCTATTATAATTTGTAAACAAAGTTCATGTCTGCCATTCAAATATTTCAAGGATGCTAGACAATACATATGGCATCAAGCCAGAAGCAGCAAAGAATCTGTACTTCTTGGTTTTTTTAAGCAAAATTCAAGCTTAAACTGAAGAGAGTAGGAAAAACCACTGGGCTAGTCAGGTATAATCTAAAGCAAATCCCTTATGAATACACAGTGGAAGTGAAGAACAGATTTAAGGAACTAGATTTGGTGGACAGAGTGCATGAAGAACAATGGAAGGAGAACCATAACATTGTACAGGAGGCAGCTACAAATACCATCTCAAAGAAAATGCAAGAAAGCAAAGTGGCTGTCCAACGAGGCCTTACAAATAGCAGAGAATGGAAACAAAATGCAAGGGAGATAGGGAAAGTTACAGAAAATTGAATGCAGACTTCCAGAGAATAGCAAGGAGAGACAAGAGAGCCTTCTTAAATGAACACTGCAAAGAAATAAAGGAAAATAATAGGAAAGGAAAAACCAGAGATCTGTTCTAGAAAATTAGAGATATTAAAGGAACATTTTGTGCAAAGACGAACATGATAAAGGACAAAAATGGTAGGGACCTCACAGAAGCAGAAGACATCAAGAAGAGGTGGCAAGAATATACAGAGGAATTATACCAGAAAGATTTGAATATCCCGGACAACCGAGATAGTGTGGTTGCTGACCTCAAGCCAGACATTCTGGAGAGTGAAGTCAAGTGTGCCTTAGAAAGCTTGTCTAACAAAAAGGCCAGTGGAACTATTTAAAATCTTAAAAGATGATGCTGTTAAGGTGCTACATTCAATATGCCAGCAAGTTTGGAAAACTCAACAGT